CACCCCCCCTCCCGCAAAGATTGAACAGAACAGAGGCTGACCCAGTGGCCGTTGTGGCGATAGAATACTCGCTCTTGGATACGGATGCCGAGAGCGGGGCGCGGTCGAATGGCGACTGAATCGGTAATGGTATTCGGGTTAGCAGCGTTCGCGTTCCAGACGCGCCAGTTGGCGTTCGAGTGTGGCGAGTTGCGTGTCGAGCAGTACGAATGCGTGCGAGACGGAGGTGGTCTGCATGTCATGGCCCGTCAGTCGATCATCCTTGGCCTGTTGAGGGTGTGTGTGGGGGGGACGTACATAGTTGGCCCAGTTGGTCACGAGATCCAACACGCGCTGGTGGGTCGACTTTGCGCGCTCGTCTTGCTCCTCCTCTCGCTGCTTTGCCATGTGTAGTCTGGATGCATCCACCGACTCTGTATGCACGTCATCATCAGCCAGTGCCTCTGCTTGTGTGAGAAAGTGAGAGCGTGGCGACTTACTTGCGAGGGCCTTGTTCGCCTTAGCATCCAATGCACCTTGCAATGCGGCGATATCGCTGATCTCACGGTAGGCTGTTGCTAGCTCGTCGTGCAGCTGGAGTGCATGGACTGCGTGCTGTGCGTCTGGATGCGCAGGGGGGAGGGGTTGGAGATGCGCGTCGTACTCGGGCCAGTGCTGGAGGAGAAAGCGGAGGGAAGCATCGGGCACGTCGTCGAGGCCAGCAGCGATGGTGCGCAATCGCGGCAGAACCGACGCCTCTGCCGACGTGCCCACCAGATGGGCGAGGGTGGACAATCGCAACGAGAGGCTGGTCGTATCCATGGTGGTGGTTGGGAAGCAAACGCGTGTCATTCACCGCGCTCAACCGAAATATCGCAGAGCAACACGATCACCAATCGATTGCATTATTCAGGCGTGGAGCTAGAAGGGCATCCGCGTGCACTGGGCCGTGTCGACGATGAGACGGGTGATCTCGGCGTCTTGCGTAGCCACACCGACCGACTTGAACACACTCACGCCGTCGACGTCCCATCTGCCTTGCACTTGCTGCATCCACTCGTCGGGCGCCAGCTCGGCGTCGGGTAGCAGATCCGCCATCTGCCTTACGCTGCCCCACTGCTCGTCGGTGAGTGTGCCGAGGCATCCCGCTTCGGTCCTGCATGCATCTAGGCTATCCACCACGAGCGCACCCTGGGTTGCAGTCTGCTCGACGAGCCCCGCTGGCAGTTCACGCATGTGGTGGGTGTAGGACCCCACGGCGCAAACGTGAGTTCTGCCACGCACCCACTGCTCGTCAAACAGCGCTTTGCGCGACGGAGTGCAGGTACACACCACATGCGCCCGCTCCACTGCGCTCCTAACATCATCCACCCGCACCACCACCTCGATCTCCACCTTGCAGTCCAACGCTCCTAGCTGTCGAACCATCTCGGAGCGCTTTTCCCCCACCTCTTCGGGCGAGAGGCGGCGGTGTTGACCCACCACCACGCTGGTCTTGGTGAGCGTGTAGAATCGCGCATGCAGTGCAATGTGCAGTACCGCCTGAAGACCATCACCAAACACCACCATCTCCACCTCTCCTCGTCCTAGCGCCATGATGGTGCTGAGCACCGAGCCAGCAGCCGTGCGCACCGCCGTGAGACTCGTCGAGTTCACCACGTGACTCACTGCCCCGTCGGCGCCCAACACCAGGTTGACACCGGGAATGCCGCGAGACGAACGCGGGACGCTGACGATCTTGACCACGCTAAGACCGGATGTGTGTGTGGGCATGAAGAGCTGCGTATGCGCGGGCGTCGACAGGCTCATGCGTGGTGGACATTGCGCCGTCGAGAGCGAGCCAAACGCGCGTGCTTGCGAGCGCAGCAGTGAGCACAGTGAGAGCCGGCCAAGTGCTGCATCCACCTCGCCACTCGAGATGATCGCCACGCCACTCGCCGAGCTCGACATCGTATCGCGCCCAGTGACAAGTGCAGAGTCAAGGTGGAAAAGTGGCACGCACAGACCATTTCTTGCCAAACACGCGACTCGATCAAAGGGTTCAGGGGGATGCCATTACAAGACGCCCTCGGTGAGGCGCTGGTACATATCGTACAGCCGCGTAAACGCACTTCCCGCACTGGACAACACCAGCCGATCCACAAACTCGTCGCACTGCGCACTGCTCAGTCCCAGCTGGAACCGATCGCGCAGATTCGCAGCCGTCAAGTCGCCCAGTGCAAAGCAGGGCAGCTTGGAATCCTTGGCCATCAGCTCCACCAGCATGATGATCCGCTCCGCATGCTTGCGTACATCCCTGAACCCCTGCCGCATAAGCGCCTTGAACTCGTCGAACTCCTGACTCTCCAGCCCGCCCAGGATATCGATGTACTCCTGCGGCATCTTGAACGGAGCCGCCTCGAACCCCACCCCACCGGGGCTGATGCCAAGCATGAATCCAAAGTCGATGTGGATCAGTCGTCCCTCGCGGTCGACGAGGATGTTGCCGTTGTGTCGGTCCTTGATCTGCAGCAGATAGCTGATAATGCTATACCCCGCCAACGAGCGCATAAACCTCCCGCGTGCTTGCTTGAACCCCGCCGACGTCGACGGCCCGTACGCCGCAAGGAAGTGGTCGTAGAGCGAAAAGCCGCGCGCCTTGTCTTCTTCCGCCATGCGCGAGTACGCCTCCTTCTTGATCGAATGCACACTCACCGCATCCGTAATCGTCTCCATCAACCCGCTATTCTCGCTCGTCACCAGGATGCGGAAGTAGCGCACCCAACATGCGCTCCCCGTCTCCTCCCAAATCCGCCCAAACTCATTGATCAGTTGCACCGCCAGTTGCTCCTGCCGCAAATCCGCACCCGTCTTGACGATGACCGAAAAGACGTCCCAACTAGCCAGGTGGCCGTACGGCGACGATGCACGGATGCGCTCCTTCTTGGCCGCCCAGGATTCGCTGAACATGGCCGCCGAGGGATCGTCCTTGTTGACCGCGCGCAGCACCGCTTCCTCCTCGTCCTCGCCCATGCGTGTGGCTGGATTCGATGCCTTTGCTCTCGCACGCACCGCCGTTCGCCCACCCACCTTCATGCGCCGCATCCTCTCCTCCTCCAGCGCCATCATCTCGTGCATGATCCGCTTGCGGATCGCCTCGGTCTCTGCATGCACCAACCTCGAACTCTGTCCCGCTCCCCCAACCCCACCCATCACGCGGGCGACATCCACGCCCACATGCGCACTCACCCCCGCCGTCCCCTGCCCCACCTCGGCCTTGTCCCCCGCACCTCCCCCACCGCCATTCGCTGCGACAGGTGCAGAGGAGGCATACCAGTTGGTCGGGACGATCCACGAGCTCCAGCCGCCCTGCGCATTGCTGCCGAGGTTGGGGCCGTAGTTGACAATGGCGTGAGCCTTGCTGGCGTTGCTCGACTTGTTGAGCTGCGACAACATGACCGCCGCCGTGCGCATGCGCTGCGCATACTCGTCCAGCGAGAACTCCTGCATGGGTCGATGGCCCGCCGCCAGCTCCGTGTCGCCAGGAGCGCTCCACGCCGCTGCATCGTGCATCCGGTTGCGCGTCGACAGATCCTCGTCGTCGTCCGAAGACGTATCGCGCTCGCCACCGAACCCGGCCAGATCCGAACCGTACATCTGCTCGGTCAGGTCGATCTCCTCGCCTGGCGCGTCGGGCTCGCGCAGCGTACCGATGTCCGCCTCCGCCTCGGCGGCGCGTTCGCCACCCATGCCATCGAAGCGCTCCATCCCCGGGGTCAGAGGCTGCGATGCGGGCCGTGGCGTGCTGGAACGCGTGCCTAGCTGGCCATCCAACTCCAAAACCGCCGCTGCAGCATCGTGCGCATCGCCATCGTTCGCCGCCGTGCCAACCTCGTCATGCTCGACGAGATCGGGCGTATTGCGCGCACTTTCGCTCGCCTGCTGCACAAACGGCGACGACGCAGCGGCGGCCTTGCGCCTGCGCGAGTCCTCCTCGGTGACAAGCCTGCGCAGCGTGTCGCGATTATGCCTGCGCTCCGGATCAAAGTCGAGCTCGTTGTTGAGCACCTCGACGTGCAGCAGGAACGGCACGCGGTCCGCCGAGTTGAGCACCACCGCCTCGCTCGGATTGATCCTCACCACCCGGTGGTGCCTCTTTGCCCCACTCACCGTCTCGGCATCTTTGGAGCGCACATCCTTGTCATCCGCCGTGCACCACAGCGGGAAACAGACATCTGCAGGCAGCTTGTGGTTGAGCGCCGTCAGCTCGGCACGCAGCGCCGACAGCCGCGCCGGCTTGGGCAACAGCAGCAGCCGCGCCGAGATGTCCTGGAGCGACAGCAGGAACCGCGTCTGCTCCTTGCAATAGTTGGATCGCAACAGGCTGCGCCGCGCCTCGGCATTGTACAGCGCCAGCACCGCCTCGGTCTTGGCGGCTGGCTGGTCGAGTGCGGCGGACGAGGCGAAGACCGAGGCGAGGCCTGCGCGCGTCGAAGCGAGGTTGGGCACCGAGCGCGACGATGCCGCCTGCTGACCGAACGACGCCAGCTGCCGATGCTTGTGCGGCGACCAGGGTGGAGGCGCTGCCGACGACGTCGGGTTTCTGCGCGCGCCCGTGGCGGCCCGACTCGAGTTGGCGGGGTGCGCTTCGTTGTGCGCCTGGCCAAACACCTCGCCCACAGCGGCGGCCGCCTTGCCCTTGAAGTCGTTGAAGCCGGCATTGAAGCCGGCGGCCAAGGTGGTGAACGGATTGTCGGGGCGCTTGGCGTTGTCGGCGGCGGGCAACGAGCCTCCGGATGTAACCTCTTTTGTGGTGGTGGCAGAGGTGGCGGCGGACGGGGTGTCCTTGGGCGGAGGCAGAGGCGCCGTGTCTGCGCGCGCCATGGATACCGACGAGGCGGCCATCTTGACGAGTGAGCCGGCCAAGGACGAGAGGCTCGAGTCTCGTGCGTGCGGTTCCGGTTCCGGGGCCGCGGCGGAGGTGGCGGGCTTTTCGTTGAGCGAATCGTTGTCGTCGCTGTCGATGCCATCGTCTGCGGCGCGTTCGTTGCGTTCGTAGAGCTGGTCGTGCTGGAAGGCATCGTCGTCGTCGTCATCCTCGTCGGGGTCCTGACGTGCGGAGCGCTGGGCGTCACGCGAGGCGAGGGCGTGCTGCATGGGGTCTACGGGCTGCCGTGCCTGTTCGATGGCGATGTTGCCCGTGATGTCGGCGAGGCGAGGCATGCCGGGCGCACTGGCGAGCACCGAGCCGATGCCGACGATGTTGGCGATGGGCGTGTGCGGCGACACCTTTTGTCTTCGGAACGTGGAGGTGGCAGCGAGACGGATGCGCTCGAGCCCATTCTGGAGCAAGTTGGAGTTGGAAGGGCCGGGCGCATCTACGGCTGCGGCGGTGGCGAGCGCATAGACGGGATTGGACGATGCGAGCGGGTCCTGGAAGAGGATGCGCTGGCACTCGTTGAAGACGCGGTGGCAGATGTGAAACGAGGCCGTGTTCGGGTTGGACGAGAGGTCGGATAGGGCGGCCTGAAAGTACCAGAGGGTGAGGAGGGCGACGTGTACGGACTCGTTGCATCTGCGGAGGATGAAGCACTCGAGCGCGCGCGAGTCGGACGGCTTGGTGATGAGGAGGTGGCAGAGCTGGGGCCAGTAGAACTCGACCTGGTGCGAGGGAAAGGCGGACTCGAGCTGGCTCACGAGGTAGTAGGTGATGCCGATGTTGTCCGAGTAGGTGCGCAGGTAGGAGAGCGCGAGGTGCGGCGAAAAGTAATCCGAATGGAACAGACGCAGCAAGAGGCTCGCCATGGTGCGCAGTGGCTACACGAGCACGCCGAGCCAAGCAAGCGGAAGCAAGCGGAAGAGAGCGGAGAGGGGGTCGGCGAGCAGAGTGTGGACTATGTCATGAGCGCGACGCCAAGTGTGTATGATGACACGGAGGGAGATGAGAGATGGGAAGGATGAAGTAGTTCCATCTCCATCTCTCTCTCTCTCTCTCTCTCTCTC